ATTCCTAAGGAAATGCATCTCGCCGCTTTCTGTACTGTTAGACGGGGCGGGGCAGTGCGGGACGTGTAGCACAGTGGCAGGGTTGGGAAGCAAAACTCGGTTCCGAGTAGGAACAAATAACAATTGTCCGGTACCGGGATTAATAAGAGTTGTGAGGACAGGAGGCGAGGCCAACATTATTGTGGATTTTAGTCACTAAATCCACAATACTGTTGATAATTGATCAAAACTGCATCTATTTCCAACTGTGTAAATATTTAGTAAAAGCATCAATGGTCAACATTATAATATCATGAGGGTATTGATAAAAAAAGATTGAGCTGTACGATCATCCTAATATCAAACAGTATACAAGTAGATAAAATACTCTTTCTTGGACAAAATATCCCTCAGTATCAGTAGGTATTGTGACGGGACCATTTGAAGCTCATGTCTTCATGCAATCCTAGTAATTGGACTGAAGTTAAGTATGAGAAGATCAATATTAAAAAAATGTAAAACACCAATTGCATCATTTCTAGCAAGTTCTTTCACGTCTCTTAACACTATCACAGTGGAGTAAGACGTCTTAAAATGCCTGCAAACTAACCCTATCTATTTGAACAGACATCAGTGCATCACGTCTGCATTTTCCCACTGACTTTGTACTTTGGTGCAAATCTCAACTGCTCCTTACATGTGCAAATGTTTACAGAAGAAGTAGACGTTGCACTAAAAAGGCACCATAACGCCAAACAATCATTAAAATGTTGTCAAATATATGGACTAAAAGGTTAAATGTGTCGAACACCATTCTGATTAAGTAGATATCTTCCTACAATAATAATCTAAAGACTTCTTAAATATATTTTTACAAAGAAAACTAGAATAACTATTCAAAAATGTTCATTCCCTCCAATGCGCAACATTCCTTACGATCATGAATTAGGTCATAATTAGAGAAAATAATGACCACTAGATATTTCATCCTAATAGATAAAGCCCTAACAGGTACAACCCTCAGACCAAGAGACTCTAGTCTGGTCAATAAATATGCTGCAAACATGGAAGACACAGAAAGTAGTCTTGTACTGACAATGAAAACGAGAATAATGATGCAAAAAGAACCGTTCCCTCCAATACCCATCATTCCTTATAACAATGTCAGAATTAAATAATCTAACAAAATAACCCTAATTTAATATATTTCTCTTAAAATGTAAGACCTTACAGAAAGGCCCCTCGAACCATGAAACGGCTCTGTCAATAAACCTGTTGGCAAAATGACAAAAACCTCAGTTTCCTGTTTTATAACCCAAACTGTGCAGCACTCTGTGACATTACCTGGCCTTCTTACTGGTCTCTGCAGTAGTTATAGTACTGTGCTGCTCTAAAATATATATATTTAAGACCTTACAGGTAGGCCCACTCAGAACATGACACAGCCTTGTCAATAAATCTGCTGTCAGCATGACCCAGGAACAGAAAATAATCAAAGTGTCCTCTGTTTTAACCCAAACTGTCCAGCTCTCTGTGACATAACCTGGTCTTCTTACTGGTCTCTGCAATAGATAAAGTGCTATGCTGCTCTAAAAATATATATATTTAAGACATTACGGCTGCCAACATGAGCTACTAAGAGACAGAAAAATCCCAAGTTTACGCAAATTAGGGAATGACTCTTCATCAAGGTCCAACTTGTCCATCACTCGGTGACATTACCTGGCTTTCTTACTGGTCTCTGCAGTAGTTATAGTACTGTGCTGCTCTAAAATAGATATTTTTCTTAAAATGTAAGACCTTACAGATAAATAAAACCTGTTGCCAACATGACAAAAACCCCAGAGAAATCCAAGGTTCCTCTGTTTTAACCCAAACTGTCCAGCTCTCTGTGGCATAACCTGGTCTTCTTACTGGTCTCTGCAATAGTTAAAGTATTGTGCTGCTGTAAAATATCTATATTTAAGACCTTACAGATGTGCCCTTCAGACCATGAAACAGCCTTGTCAATAAATCTGCTGGCAATATGACAGAAACCCCAGAGAAATCCAAGGTTCCTGTGTTTTAACCCAAACTGTCCACTGACAGTACCAGGCTTTAGCTACAGCTTAGAACCAGTTGCAACCCACTTTCAAAAAGGCCTCTGAGGACTTTTCTTCCCCTTTACCAGAGGCCTCTCTCTCCTGCTCTCCCCCTCTGCATACACTCACTCTAACTCACATTACTGAGTCTGCATTGTTGACCAGCAGCAGCACGGCCTAAATATAGTCAAAAAAAAAACACACCGGCTGGGGGAAGAGAGCGCAGGAGAAAGAGGGAAAGAGAGGGACAGGGAGGGAAGACGGAAACAGAGAGAGAGAGGGAGAATATAAGACGGAAACAGAGAGAGAGGGAGAATATAAGACGGAAACAGAGGGGGACAGGGAGGGAAGACGGAAAGAGAAACAGAGAGGGAAAGAGAGGGACAGGGAGGGAAGACAGAAACAGAGAGAGAGGGAGAATATAAGACGGGAACAGAGAGAGAGGGAAAGAGAGGGACAGGGAGGGAAGACAGAAACAGAGAGAGAGGGAGAATATAAGACGGAAACAGAGAGGGACATGGAGGGAAGACAGAAAGAGAAACAGAGAGGGAAAGAGAGGGACAGGGAGGGAAGACAGAAACAGAGAGGGAAAGGGAGAGAAGACAGAAACAGAGAGGGACAGGGAGGGAAGACGGGAACAGAGAGAGAGGGAGAATATAAGACGGGAACAGAGAGAGAGGGAAAGAGAGGGACAGGGAGGGAAGACAGAAAACAGAGAGAGAGGGAGAATATAAGACGGAAACAGAGAGGGACATGGAGGGAAGACAGAAACAGAGAGGGACAGGGAGGGAAGACGGGAACAGAGAGGGAAAGGGAGAGAAGACAGAAACAGAGAGGGACAGGGAGAATAGAAGCCAGAACGAGACTTTTGTTTGGACGAAGTCATAGAACTTTGTCTCGAGATATGACTCACAAAGTGCAAAGATTAGGAGAGATAAAAGGAGAGGAGGAGGTGGGCAAACACCTACCCTCAGAGTCCTCCGGCTCTCGAGACCCTCGGTTCCCCATGCTCACTGAATTCCTTTTTCTGAATGCAAAAAAAACTAGACGGGAAAAGGAGAGGGGGTTTGAACAGAAACCCCCTCTCTGACTCCTTCCTGTCCTCTCTACAGGTGCCCTCTCAGAATGACTGCTTTTAACATTCAGCCCTCCCTCTTCCAGCGTGTCTCCCTGACGCTCCTCCCTCTGACCTTCCTGATTCCTCCCCTGCCTTTCACTTCCTTTCCTTTCCTTTCCTTTCCCCCCCGACTTCCTCTCTCTCTCCCTCCATTTACAGAATCTGCATGTGATCCAGCCGAACATACATGTTGCATTGTTACAAAATACAGTGATCAAGTCTTATTAAACCAATCAAATGCTATAATTACTTCATGATTCCTTTACTGTCTTTCACTCTTTTTGGAAAACAGAGAAATGGGTGAGATAACTTTTAAGTTGAGTCATTCTAGCCCCCCTTTTCCAGCAACTTTAACGTGTATTTGCAGGTTTTTAAACATGGTAAAACCAGCTAAAAATAGAGGATATTGTCCGTTAACCATTGCAGGAATGTGAACTTGGACGTCAAGGACACCAGAAGCAAGGTTATAGTAAACAGTGGAGAGTTTCACAGTGGAAAAGTCTTTTTTTTTTACATATTGATTCTCTCTTTCAAACTTTTAAACCAGAGTTAGTCGTTGATGAGCGGTAGAAAATTCATTTTGTTGAGTTTTATTTAGTTTTTGTCCGGTGTAAATTGTGTGTTTTTACTACATTGAGCGATGAAAAATGTGTGTTTACTGGTGGCTTAAAGGAGAGCATAGTAATTGTATGTTTTGTTAATAAATATTTGAATAAACCTTTTTTTGGTTTCCCTGATTGCAGGAAATCGGGGTGTCATGTATCTGATAAATATTAAGACCACTCCCGGAGTTATTTGTCCCGGTATTTAATGACGTTTGTTACTTTCCCAATGAAGGCAAAAGCCAGATGCAAGTGAATTTGTTGTCTAATGGGGAAAAGGGGATTAACTCAAAGGGGCTATGATTTAAAAACTGTAATAAATAAATGCTAATTGTCCAAATACCTCTTGATTTTCTTTCAAATGTATATTAACTTCAACACGAAAAAGGTGCAAGAATTAGCATGTAAACCAGCGTGTTTCCGTCGCTACAGATTGCTGCTGATAAATACTGTGATTAGTGCAGAGTTAAAATGCCAATTGCAACTTTTCCCAGTAAAGACAAAAGCCAGCTGTTAGTGGATTTTTGTCACATGGGAAAAGGGCTTTTCAGAGACTGGGATTGATGTGGTAATAATTGTTCTAATAGTACATATCTTGGTGTATTTTCTGTTTGTTAGATTTCAATAACTGCCGAACGCAGCATTTAAATACTGTTACATAAGGCTGGACCATTTGTGCTTTAAAACAATATTTACGCAATGACAATTCAATACATAATCATTAGTCATGTGGATATGACTAAGTTAGCAAATATAGAGCTGCTTGAACAGTCCATATAATAGATTACTTTACTGTACTGCAATAAAACCAGGCAAAGACGACACTTATAATATACAATATCCAAAATCTCAGACGATATCTGGTCTTATTTCATGCTAGTGACAAAATATCAATATGTTACCCAGCTCTAATACTACTGAGTCTTTGCCTGAGAATGAACAACACTCGGTTTAAGAGTGACTCGGATTGTTGTGGTATTAATTCATATTAATAGAAAACATCCCCATGGATCTTTGTTAGTAATCATTCAACTTCCTGGGAACTATTAACCTTTGTTTCCAAGGATAAAAGCCAGATGTTAATGACGTTTTAGTCCGGTGAAAAGGGGCTTCAGAGTGGATTTGATTTTCAGAAAGACTCCCCTATTTCTCCCCCTGAATAAGTTATCCGAGCCACTCTGGCATCACAACAAACTACAGGGGAGGGGGCGAGTGTGTGTATGTTTGTGGGGTGAGTTAATCAAATCACACAACATAAGGGGGGAGGGAAGCTTTAAAAATAGTTACCATACTCCGTCAGCACAGTGTTTGTGTCTTCACCTGACTGCTAGAAAAGGACTCAATGGACAAACGGACTGTACCACTTTGAAGACATCAGAGGGGGGTGTTGGGTTTGTATTTTGGGATTGTTACCATGCAGTTACACACATTTTATGGTGCACATCGCGGGCATAAAGACCAATGATTGCCATATACTGTGCTACTTTTTAACGTCTCCTGAAACAACCTTTTTAAAACCCATTCAGTAGTTGAGCCACTTTGGAAATTGAGAGCTGTGTGTCACTGTCACATGACCGGTTATTTAGGGTCATGTGCTTAAATCACCTCACAACATGACATGTGATTTGCTAAATGAACACGACATGGAGGGTCAATCAGTTGTGCTAAAGTACAGCACAAACAACTAAGAAATAGTTGTAAAAAAACAACTATTACTGATCCTATATAACGAGCTAATGCTAAACCATGCTACCCCTTTTGATGAAATTGGCACTTCCATTTATTGTGAAAACACATGAAACTGCAATAAGTGAAATTAATAATAACTTGGGTTCCATTCAATCCCATCTTGAATATTAAAACTGCTCCAAATGCATCATGAAATCTGACATCTGAATGCACATGTTGCTGTAAAATGAGACCGTTGGCAACACAAGACTTTATACTCTTATCCAATGTCAGATCTACGAGACAACTGAGATTCATGACCTGGTTTGTTTCTCCGTGGGCTTTTATCCACTGACAAAGAAAGTTAAATAGAAGCCAGTTACACAACCGACCTATTTTTACCTGCAGCATTTCACACACACACCAACAGCCCGAGACAACAAACAGCTTACTGTGCCAACAATAGAGCGGTGCAGTGACGTCATATTTCTGTCGGCCAATCAGAAAGTTAGTGTCCCTCTGGTTCGGTCCACAAAAAAAACAATGGGATATTTCATTGGATTTGGGATAAGCGCAGGAAATAAGATATGTGGCAAATAAACTTTGATGACGTTTACTTGTGTTGTTTAGCAGGATAATCTCCACATTTTAACACCACTTAAAATATTAGTAAAAGGCTCCCAGGGTCATAACATGGCTATAAAGGAACTACAGCACGGTCACATGACTTCACGCCACCACCGCTAAGCTAAAGGAGGCTAATTTTGGGCTATAAAGGAACCACAGCACGGTCACATGACTTCACGTCACCACTGCTAAGCTAAAGGAGGCTAATTTTGGGCTATAAAGGAACTACAGCACGGTCACATGACTTCACGTCACCACCGCTAAGCTAAAGGCGGCTAATGTTGGGCTATAAAGGAACTACAGCAGTCACATGACTTCACGTCACCAACGCTAAGCTAAAGGCGGCTAATGTTGGGCTTTAAAAGGAACTACAGCACGGTCACATGACTTCACGTCACCAACGCTAAGCTAAAGGCGGCTAATGTTGGGCTATAAAGGAACTACAGCACAGTCACATGACTTCACGTCACCAACGCTAAGCTAAAGTCGGCTAATGTTGGGCTATAAAGGAAGTATGGCACGGTCACATGACGTCACCACCGCTAAGCTAAAGGCGGCTAATGTTGGGCTATAAAGGAAGTACGGCACGGTCACATGACGTCACCACCGCTAAGCTAAAGGCGGCTAACGTCGGCCGTGATTACGTATAATTATCTCATTAAGACACTTGTTGACTTCAAGAAGAGGGATCAAGAAATGCTAAAACTAAAACAGACTTGTCTTGTATTTTATGAAAACATTCAGCTGCAGAATGTGTACTATTTTATCTGTTTTATTGTGTTGCACCGTTGGAGGAGCCTGTGACCTAAGATTTTCATTGACATATCTACACTGTAGCTGTGTACACAGGACAATAAAAGCCTTGAATCTTGAATGCATCACACAGCTCACACACTGATGTGCAGAAGGCATGACACAGAAAGGAAGAAATGTGTGTTTACAGTCCTGTATTCAGGCCAGTGTATTCTACTGCTGGTGAGCTACAGTTTAAAACAAAGACAACACATAGTTCAGATGCCTACTGGAGGGGGGGGGGGGGGGGGGGGGGGGGGGTCGGCAAGTTTGTTTTGTCAGGGCATCATCACCCCTCTGTGATGCACCGACACTCAGTCACCTCTAGAGGGAGTGATAACACATGGGATCCTCTGTTGAGTCACTGTATTTGTTCAGTTGCAGAAGTTAAATACACTAGTCCATTTGACTGCACCTGCTGTGTGTACTTTGCATGGCTTACTCTTTGAGATAGTCTTTTTTTTTTTTTTATGTATTTTCTTGTGTTTCATTAACCTCTTAAGCACAGCGGTCCCCCCATTGGACCCCTCCCACCGTTTTTTTCTCGAGATAATGTCTCAGGGCTTCTTAACATTTATGAAACTATTAATGTGTAGCACCAGATTAACGGGAAGAATCTCAGCTAACTGAAGATATGAACCATTTTTACCAAAACAAAACACAAGTCTCATAAGAAGCGTCTAAATGACCCCTGAGCGAAAAAATTCTAACGCACTGCGGCACACAATTCAAGATAAAGATACCCTTATTACTTATCGTAGCTGCACATACAATATAGCCGATTAAAGCTGAGACTCCACTGATTATTTAGGTATAGTATCATCACTGAGCGATCCGAACTTGCGACAGGGGAAGCAAACACAGACATCACAACACTTACCTTTACGGAGCATTTACGGCAGATCGTCTCACCGTAGCTGTCAATTAGGTCAAAAGACGTGTTCGATGGCATTAAAACGAAAAAGAAAAATGCTACAACTGTCGATCCATAGGTTGATAATGTACCTGTGCCTTTGAAGAAATAATTTATAATCCATAATTCCATTTTTTATGTAAAAATCGGAGCGGAAAAGTTAGCTGCTAATGGTAGCCACCAGAGTGTATGCAGCTTCACGTCACTAGTTTAGCATACTCAGCCCGGTTGTTGGACCGGAAAGAACCTGGATTTTGGAGGGCCGGACAAACTGTGAAAAAGCACCCGTTAGCCGGAACTACCCCTAGTGGAAACGCAACAAAAAATAGGCCGGGTTTTGCACGGCATGCTTAAACCGTGGTACGCGCTGCAGTGGAAATGCGCCGTGTGTGTGTGCACCTTAACTAAAAGCAATATCAGAACCCATCAATCTGACAACAATAAGCCTCTGCGGGCAAAACCAAATATTATGTCTGATATCAAGATGGCTCCTATGTTGGATTATGAAGCAGCTTAGTGTGTGTGTGTAGCTTAGCTTAGTGTGTGTAGCTTTGTGTGTGTCTCAGGTGAGGCCCAGGTAGAGCCTCTTACCGTAAGTACCATATTCAGCGGGGCTGGTGCCGGGGTAGAAGCCGGGCGTTCCTGCAGGGACCGGGTACTGCTGGGGGGTCGTCACGTAGGCCGCTGACCGGTACTGAGGAACAGAGGAGAGTCAGGGTATTGTTATTAGAAACAGTTAGAGGAGCATTCGTACAAATAACGGCAGCCAAGCAAAGATACTTTTCTATCACAATATACAGCTTTAGGACATTTGAATTGATACCAATCACAGGGTTCCTGCAGGTTCCCCCAACTCAAATGTAAGACTTTTTAAGACCTATTTCACGGCAAGAAAGTATGAAGGAAAATGGCTATGAAAGAAGAAATACGTCCCATAATTACTTGCAAAGTAAATGTATTCATGTTCAACATAAGAACGATGACTGAACATAACAGCATAACAGTACACTGAACTGTGTTAGCGTGTTAAACATAAAGTAAGTAAGTGTGTGTGTGTGTGCGCGTGTGTGACAAGCGCTATAGTCAGAGCTCTGCTGTCTTCAGGCTGTTGTGTCATTCTTCATGTATGATTGGTGTTTAGCTACGGTATTTAGCGTCCACAGCACCTTTTAGGGTTGACAGACCCTAACGTCGTAGTCATATCATTAGCTAGAACTAGCTAGATCTGATCGATATGGACATAAACGCGAGTAAAGTCTAATCTGACGGGAGAGAGATCAGCTGCTGCTGACGAGTCGACACGCAGCTCTGCATGATCCCCTGCAGCGGCGAGCAGAGCAAAACACACACACTTCAGGTTAGAATATCACGTAGCTATTTTAATTACCTCTCAAACTACCTAAACTAGTTCTAGATATGTTTAGTTTTACTGTCGGGTCACTCATTACTGGATCCGCGAGCTGCATGATACTGGCGGGCTGTCAGGAGAAGGAGAGAGCGCTCTGTTTATTATTCCCACGTTTTTGTAAGTTACTGTACACTTTTGAATAATGTAGTTAATCTACTATAATTAGTTTGTTTAAATATCGAATCATATCAATTTGTTTTAAAGCTCAATAAATAACATAACAAAGTAGACCTTTGACTGGTACTTTTCTCCCTTTTGTCCGGAAGATTTAAACTTTAACGGACATGTTGACCGGCAAAAAAATATTCTAACGGGAACTCTGTGAAAAGGTACCCGCTAGCCGGAAATACGCCAAGTGGAAACGCAACCCAAAACGGGCACGGCAAGCTTAAACCGCGCTGGAGTTGAAATGCGCCAAAAGTAAGCAAGATAGCCAATATAAGGCTGTCATCTTGCCAAATAGTCTTATTGTAAAGTGGTACCCACAATTGTACTTGTTATTAATAGTACTTAATTTGTTTTATGTAATATAGCCTTTTATAATGAATACAAATGGAGAGAAAGAGGTAGTCAGTCAATAAATATTTAACATGATTAAAACACATTTGGGTGTATCGTCAAGCACTGAATGATATGAGGAAAAAGGTGTCATGTGATCAATCCATACACCATGTAGCGTCACATCTTAAATTCCTCTCACCTCTCCAGGTATGAAGTAGGCGGGTCCCTGGGGGGTGTTGGGGAAGCGGATCTGCTGCCCGGGGATCATCATCATCTGAGAGCCGGGGCCCGCCTGGTAGACGTGGGTCGGGGTGACGGGCCGGGGGCCGCTGTTGGGAGGGATGCCCCGAGGACCCCCGTTAGGAGGGAGGCCGGCCCTGTTGGTGTAGTAGGGCTGGAGGGGAGGAAGGGAAGAGGAAGAGGAGGAAGAGGAAGGAAAAATGAGCAACTTTGTGTGAGTCTCTATCAGTGAACCATAACAATGTATATGAAGGATATTCACTAAAGCATGGATTCAATTCACTTAATTTATTCCCAAACAGGGAGAGTAGGGGCTCAGACAATCAGGACCCCCTTGAAAACGCCATGGTGCATCTCAAGGGGGGTTATCCTAATAAATACATTTCTAACAATAAAAGAGAGTATGATAAATATATATTATTAACACTTCTAGAATTGAATTTCCACATTTAAGCAAGATATTCACTTGTAGGCAGAGGTGGGAAGTAACTAAGTACATTTACTCCCATACTGTACTTAAGTACCAATCTGCACAATGACTACTTTTACTGTCGCTACTTTCACTATATTTTGATGATAATACTTTTCTACTTTTACTTGAGGAACATTTTGAATGCAGGACTTTTACTGTAACAGAGTATTCCTACACTCTGGTACTTCTACTTTTACTCAAGTACAAGATCTGAGTACTTCTACTTTTACTCAAGATCTGAGTACTTCTACTTTTACTCAAGTACAAGATCTGAGTACTTTTACTCAAGATCTGAGTACTTCTACTGTTACTCAAGCACCAGATCTGAGTACTTTTACTTTTACTCAAGTACAAGATCTGAGTACTTCTACTTTACTCAAGTACCAGATTTGAGTACTTCTACTGTTACTCAAGTACCAGATCTGAGTACTTCTACTGTTACTCAAGTACCAGATCTGAGTACTTCCACTGTTACTCAAGTACCAGATCTGAGTACTTCTACTGTTACTCAAGTACCAGATCTGAGTACTTCTACTTTTACTCAAGTACCAGATCTGAGTACTTCTACTTTTACTCAAGCACCAGATCTGAGTACTTCTACTTTTACTCAAGCACAATATCTGAGTACTTCTACTTTTACTCAAGCACAATATCTGAGTACTTCTACTTTTACTCAAGCACAATATCTGAGTACTTCTACTTTTACTCAAGCACAAGATCTGAGTACTTCTACTTTTACTCAAGTACCAGATCTGAGTACTTCTACTTTTACTCAAGTACAAGATCTGAGTACTTCTACTTTTACTCAAGCACAAGATCTGAGTACTTCTCTCACCTCTGCTTGTAGGTGAAATATTATTTTGGATTGGTACTTTTACGTTTAATACTTAAATTGTATTTACTTTTTTAAGTTTTAATTTCAATGCTAAGACTTTTACTTGCAACACAGTGTTTTGACAGAGTGGCAAAAGTACTTTCACTTAAGTTCAGGACCTAAAGAGAGAGGAATAAGTGACTATAAGTACAGAAACACGTCCTCCCTGCACCACTAGCTCCTGGTTTGCCCCCGAGTCTATGGCTGGACTCCAGCTGGAGACATATTGGCGCAGCCTGCCAGCAGAGATAAAGCAGCTCATGCTAATTCATTCACAGCTTCCTCATTTACATTCTGCTGCGGGGCTGGGAGGTAACCTCTACAGCCAGGAAAAATCACACCGAGCCAAAAAGAAAGAACATATAAACGGCCAAATATTTGACACGCTTATTAAGATGGTGGGAGGAGAAACTGCGTAGGAGGAGAACTGTAAGACAGAGGAAGTTGAGTTACCTGTAGCGACCTGAAGCTTCCCTTCAGCAGCAAACACACAGGGCACACACAGAGCGGAGGAGGAGGAGGAGGAGGGTGGGAAGAGAGGAAGAAGCACCACAATCAGTTAGAGCAAAGCACCCGGAAACTTCTGTGCCAAGCGGTGAATTAACGAGCAGCATGCAGAGCCGTGATCCACAACAACAAGGCCTGAAGACTGGAACTCAGGAGGAGTAACTCCAAGAGAGGGATTCGTTATCTAAATGTTTACTTAGTTAAATAAAGAGAGGAGAATTAAATTGTCTGTTTTTATATCAAATCAAATCACTTTCTTATTGTGATTAAAAAGCATAGTTTAACTTGAATACAATCTGATGTGAAGAGTAGGGGAAATATTCATCAATAAATACCACTTCTAAAATCACAATAGTTCCTCGATAGTTAAGAAACCAATATTACAATACAACAAACTATCTTAAATAAGGCAATTAAATATCATACAGTCTCCCTGCATACACCCTGATAAACTCAAAAACATCACGTCTTTTCAGGTATACCTTTAAACCTAAAAGTAGCTACATATTTAATGTGTGTAATCTTTCACATGTACTCGAGGAGAAGGTAATCCTTCTGAAATATTAAAACACATTGTTGATTATTAACTATCCTTAGGCACGGGACGACATGAGAAAATCCTTGCAGAAATAATTGTGATTTCCCCTTTTCTCTAAGTCGCTTGTAAGGATGTTCATGGTTATTTCAATAAAGGAGATAAACCACAATC